TTGATAGACCTCTTCTCCCCCATGGATTTGTCCAATCCCCTTTTAAAAGCTAAACTAAACAAGACATGGGAGATTGATGAAAGACTTTCCCATCCTCTTTCCCAAAGATGAAAAGCAGAAGAGGATGGGTGTGGGTATGGAGGGGAAGGGTCGCGTATTATCAGTAGCTTTGTGGGAGGATATTTTTATTGAAGAAGTGGCACATTGCAGGAAATAGTTAGGTCTCCCCAGTTCCATAGTCCCAAGCTGAGCTGCAAGTAGCTTTAAAATGTTCAGGCTGTTTAGAAAAGAAAAACAGCAATACATCTGGAAAGATTCTACGGGTCTTTGTAGACCACAGTGTAAGCATCGGGCACTAGCATGATGTTTAGCGTCAACATGTAGATCAAAGGAAATAATATAATCATTCCATTCTACTTTGGTTAGACCTCACTTGGAATACTGTCTCTGGTTAAAAGGAGATGAACAGGGCAGAATGTGTCCAGGAGGGTACAGTAAAAGATACAGAAAACAAGTCCTATGGGGAATGGACCTTGGGTGTAGTTAGTTTTAAGTACACAAAGGTGATGCAGTAGCCATCTTCAAATATTTGAAGGGCTGTCATGTTAAAGACCAGGCAAGCTTATTGTTGGCTGCCACAGACCAATGGATTCAAACGGCAAGAAAGGTCATTCTGGTTAAATGTTAGGAAGAACTTCCTGACATCTGTTTGGCAGTGGAATAAAGTGCCTTGTAAGGCGGAGGACTCTCCTCCAGTGGAGGTTTTAAACAAGCGTTTTGATTGCTACCTGTTGGGGATGGTTTAGCTATGGGTTTCTTGCTCCCACAGCAGGTTGGACTCAAGGACCTTTAAGGTCCCTTCCATTTCTACGATTTCTGTGACATCTAGTTATGCCCTGAGATAATGGCCATTTTTCACCACCTGTGAAAATTTTGATTGTGCTGTTATCTTGTCCCTTTTTTGTGCTTCTGATTTGTGTGGGATCACAGAAGGGGGAGGGAAGAGCTTATAGGCCAACTAATCCAATCCGTACATGGATGAAGGAAATGCAGAGCCATTAGCAGTCCAAACAGACGGGTGCCCCACCTCTGCTGGAAGATACTCAGCAAGGGAGAGCCCACCAGCCTTTTTAGTCCTATTGACGAAGTACTCTTATCATCAGGTGCTTTTCTCCTAGTGCTGAGTTGGAATTTATCCTCCTATGATTGAAGCTGCTTAGAACTAGCCTTGCTCGCCAAGGTTGCAAAGAACTATTGTTAGGCCTGTTTGACAATTGATTATATATAACGCTGGAGATCTTTGTTATGCACAGCTGCACGTCTATTCCTGTTTTAGTTTATCAACAGTAAATGTTGCACCTACCTTGAGGAAGCCGTGGGCATTCCATTCAATCAGAGACAGCAAAGCTCTTCCATCTCTTATGACCGCAGTGCAAAGGGAAGAATATACAGTTACATTAAACTGCCTCCCCCTTCCAGATGGATTAAAACAAACTTTTGTTGAATGGCCCCTGAAGTATTTTCTCCCTCAATGGGGATTTTGATGTGCTGCAGTGCATGAAGCTGTCCTATGTCCACAGGAACGTTTGAAGGTGGAGAAACAAGCACATCATGTAACCCCCAAGCACCCAAAGCCATGAAATACCTGGAAAAAGGCATTGGAGCATTTGTTCCGAATAGCAAATAGGCATCCTTTTTTGAGGAAAGTGCTGCTGACATAAATATTGTGTCTTAAAAACCGCACCATTCTTTCTCATTTAAAAATACGCCATAAATTTGCTGGGGCAATTTTTTGTCTCAACTGTTTTTCACGTCTTGAAGCAAGTGTACATGGGAAGTGGCTGAAACTCGGAGACAGAGACGGGTATGAGTCGCCGGTTCAGTGGTTTGTGCTGGTTCATTTTTTTGGTTGAACAAATCTTCGGTGCTTCCCAGACCCTCCTCCTCCCACTTAGAGGCAGTGCCCAGAGTAGGCAGGGCAGGAAAACCAAGCCACTGCCTCCAAGTGAGAACCCCCTAGAGGAGGCAGATCTTTGAAATGCTGAAGACTTGTCCGGCTGAGAAACAACCACTAAACCAGCAGTTCATGCCCATCTCTATCTGGAGATATTCTCTCCAACGCTTCATGCAACGTGACACAAAATCCCTACATTGTAGGTCTGATGCTGTGTGACTTCTGCAACAGCCTATGACTCCTGTAGGCCTAAGATGCCCCATTTTCCTGGATGAGAGGGGGGAAATAGTGAACAGAACTTTGCACCACTTTCGCTCCTTTGTGTTCCTCCTTGGCCTCTTGTCTTTCTCCACCATTCTGATATGTTTATCCTTCCCCCACATGTGTTCTGCTCTGATCCCATTGCTGCAGAGAAGTGCTACAGAGTTCTGGGAAACCCCAGCCTTGGCTGAAGGTAGTGGTAGAGAGGATACCAATAATTATGGGTAAAAGAAGGCATGCCTGTGTAGAAGCATGCTTTCTTTGTCAGAAACTTGTGTGTTCACAACACAACATTCCCCTGAACCATCTCTGTAATTCTCCCCACATCTGCTGTAAGCTGCTGGTAGACATAATTATCGGAAGTAAGCAAGAATTCCTGGGCTCGGGATTTTGCTGTCTCCAACCAGTAGCATAATAGGATGATGGATGACTGCTGTCTTGGAGTAAAGCTAATTTACCCCAGAGTATGTGCCACAGGAATTGAATGCATGCTTAAAACCTAAAAGGATTGGTCTGATGTTTTATTCAGTGTGCTTCCACTCTGCTCCGATACTGCTGCTACCTCCTTCATTAAATGTTGAGTGTTATGTGTCTTCATCAAACAAACAATAGTAAACAGTAAACTTTTTGGAAGGCTGGCACTTTAAAATGATGCACATGGGTTACAAACTCGATGTCCATGTTTGATTTGAAAGGCTGTTTTAGGCTTGTGGAATGGAAAATCAATCTTGGAGAAGCCTTTTGCAACCAAAGTCCCCAGAATTTGATGAGTGTGTACACTGCTGTGATAATAGGTTTTCAACATTTTGAAAGATTGCCCCCTTTTTTGAACGACATCTCCCAGCATTTCCCCACTCAGTGTGCTGGCTGGGGAATTCTAAGCTAGGGAATGTGCCCTAGCACTAAAATTCAGATTTGGGCATTGGATTTAGAATTCAGAATTACAGCCCTTTTGGAATTAGGAATTCTAAAAATTTGGAATTTCTAGATATTCAGAATTATATTACAGTCAACACAAATACTATATAATTGTTATTTTCACCCTTAAAAACAAAGAAACAGGCAAAAAGAAAAAAAGAAAAACACCAACAGAGATAACTGTGTGGCCCTTTACACAATCCAAATGTAGAAGAACTGATACCTTTATCTAGACCACTAAAAATCAAACATTCAGACGGGCAAAACATGTTTAAAGGAGTGACACTTTCTCGGTGATTGTGCCAAGCAGGTCCTTGAGCTTGCTGGCCAGGACCATTACGTCAGGCCAGATAACCCAAGGTTAAGAACCAGTGATCTAGACCACTTAAAATCAAACATTCAAACAGGCAAAACATGTTTAAAGGAGTGACACTTTCTCGGTGATTGTGCCAAGCAGGTCCTTTAGCTTGCTGGCCAGGGCCATTACGTCAGGCCAGGAAAAAAATGCTGTTCTCCCCTGATGGAATCCCCCCTCCACCTAGACTATCCCCCCCATTATCTCTTCCATCATGCCAACCAAGCCCGGGAATATTGGGATTACTTGGCTAAGGATGGCTACCTCTCCACTAAGCACCTATGTTGCAATCTCAGAGCTTCAGAAGAGACAGACCACTTGACCCATCATGTCCCACTCTTCTCTGCCCAGAGGACAGCCATACCAATGGAAGTCTCTAGTGCTCAATCACAGAGTACACTTTGCTACTCCAGCACTCTTTCAAACAGGTAGAAAGTGGAATGAAGAGACAGACCACTTGACCCATCATGTCCCACTCTTCTCTGCCCAGAGGACAGCCATACCAATGGAAGTCTCTAGAGCTCAATCACAGAGTACACTTTGCTACTCCAGCACTCTTTCAAACAGGTAGAAAGCGGAATGCAATCGAGTTGCCAAGTCCCGGATTAGGTGGTCCAGTGGCAATCCCAATTTTTCTTGCCTCTACTTCAACAGTTCATTATTCTGGACATTGTCGTGAAAATGTCCTGCTACCTTTCTGGCCCTGTCCATTCTGTTAGGTATGCATGTGTCTTCCCTACTCTGCAAGGAACCCCAAAAGGCTAGCTTGAGAGTGTGACTTTGCTACTCCAGCACTCTTTCAAACAGGTAGAAAGTGGAATGCAATCGAGTTGCCAAGTCCCGGATTAGGCGGTGCAGTGGCAATCCCAATTTTTCTTGCCTCTACTTCAACAGTTCATTATTCTGGACATTGTCGTGAAAATGTCCTGCTACCTTTCTGGCCCTGTCCATTCTGTTAGGTATGCATGTGTCTTCCCTACTCTGCAAGGAACCCCAAAAGGCTAGTTTGAGAGTGTGGGCCGTACAGTGCACTCCTTTTCATCTTCTCAGCCTGCAGTGCTGCCACCCGATTTGCCCCACTGGCTGACCAACAGGCCTCCCTTTTCTGTAACTAGACTTCCCTGCTGGACCCTGTCCCTCAGAGCCTCTTGGATGTTGTGAGCTGTGTGGCTGCCCTCCATCACAGCCACCTCCTTCAACAGGAGCCACCTCTACCCTGCCCTTGTGTGTTGCCTTATGCCTGACGCCTCCACCTCTCACCAGTGTCCTGTCAGGCAGAGATAGGCATGTTTTGCACTCGGGCTGCTCCGGATATCACTTGTCAAATGTACCACCTATGCCTTGTACCACTTGCCTGACACCCCAGTATAAATCTAGTGCCACCCTGCAGCTAAGGGCCATTTGGGATGGCAATTGTTCATGGGGTAACAATTCTGCCACAAACTACAGAAATCTGGTGTTTTCTACCAGAGAGGATGGCCGGTCATCTAGGGTTATCATTTCCCTTAGGCAATGAGCAATCCTGCTATTTTCACGGTTGCAGAAGGCCTTTTCCTGCCTCCGTCCAAGCTCCTGGGTAGCCTGGAACTTATGCCTGGTATATTGGTCTGGCATTTGCTGCCTTCTCTATCTTGATCTTTGCCCATCTACCTCCCTGCTCTACTGGGCTGGTGGGTCAACCTCTCTCCTCTAATGACTTTTGCCCTTGATAATAAGGAAGCCACTTGCTCCCTGAACACACTCCCCTGTTCTAGACTTCTTTGTTGATTGGCAGTTTACTGGCACAGCAAACGAGGGCTGTGTGAGATGTTCTGTTCCTGTTTTGAGTCCTTCATTTATTATTGACAAACTGCGTCTGCAAAGGAGTTTGCTTACTGTGGTATTGCACGCGGCATCTGCTCTTCTGATTTCTGACTGGCTGTTGTAGAGTGATTCAGAAGGCACAGCTGTGGAAGTGAGGGAAAATATAGGAAGGGGCATTTTCACAGGGGCTAGGGAAGTGATACAGCTGCCCCCTGGCCCATGGAAAGGAGGAAAATCTTTCCCATTGCCAGATAGATGCTCACATTTTAAAAATTATATCCATAATTCACATATTATGTGAATGGCCCCTCCCCCACAAAAGGAATGATACTTGGTGACCGTTCTATCAGTTTCCAAGACCCTTAATGGAATTGGAGGAGTCTTGGTAGAAGTGCTTACTTTTTAAAAAGGGGAGGGAGGGGTATTTCAAGAAAGCAATAAATACTCCAGAGAAAAAACAAGTAACATTTTGGATCAGTGATGGAAGATCTTAGTATTAAATATGCATTTCATGTTGAATATAAATCTGCCCCAGAAAAGAAACCGTTATGGTGGGCAAACCTATACCACCAGATTAACCTTCGCTATGCTGAAGCATCGCTGAACGGGGCAGGGATTTCCATTGGAACGCATTAAACATTGTTTAATGCGTTCCAAATGGGCCAAATACTCACCGTTCAGCCATGCTTCAGGATGGCCGGCAGCCATTTTCGCGCCCTTGCCTCGCTTAACGAGGGCGCGAAAACGCTGCGCGCGGCCATTTTGGGCCATTTCCAGACTTCCGGAGGCCATTTTGGCCGCCGAACAGCTGATCGCCGGGGGTCGTTTTGCGAAGATCGGTAAGCGAAACGCTTACCAGTCTTCGCAAAGCGAATTTTGCCCCATTAAAAAAACGTTGAGCGATCGCATTAGCGATCCGAAAAAGTGGATCGCTATGCGATTTCATCGTTATACGGTGCGCTCGTTAAGCGAGGCACCACTGTATTAAATATGCATTTCATGCTGAATATAAATCTGCCCCAGAAAAGAGACAGTTATGGTGGGCAAACCTATACCGTTTTGTTTTCATGGACTATAATAAATAATAATAAACAAACGAATGAAGCAAATGAAGGGGTGTGTATGTGTGTGTAAGAAAGATAGAGAGAGAGAAATTTGCTGGACCCAAACAGAATGAAACACATACATGTAAAACTCCTCTGCGGGAGGTTTATATTAATCTGAGGTTATAGCTTAGTCTTCTTTGCTCTATCCTTCCCACCTGCTCCAGATGGCGGTCAAGTCAGAGGTCTGCTGCTGGTTTAAATTCTGCCAACCAGAAATGCGCTGTTGATTTCACCGCACCAAGCTTACTGTTTATTGCAAGAGACAGCTCTGAGTTGCAGCGAAGCATCTATGTTTTCAGGCATGGAGGTCAACAGTTGTGTCCTTAGGTGTCATTTGACACCAAAAACACCAAGCAAGGATTTGTTCAGGCTCTAAGGTCTTCATTCCAAAACACCGGTCTGGAACAGTAGTTCCCCTGGCCCTTCTTTTGAGAGCTTTCTTTCTTTCCCTGTCTCTTGGTTGTGTTGCAGAGTGGTGTGAATCATGCATCCCCCAAGGCCATTTCTACTGCCTGGGAAGACCCCAGGACAGTATAAATATTATATCGACAGGGAGAATAGCATTTCTAGAGGGGTACTATTTTCTAAAACAAGGCGTTCCATCCCTTACTTACACCATGATGGGGGGGAATGGGGTTCAAAACTGGATGTCGTACCCGAAGTATTTTTGTTTTAGCTTAAAAACAACAACAGTGTGACTTCTTGCTTTCCATTGCACTGGTGCAATGAACAGTCTGGGTTCAGGCCACTCTACTATTAAGAAGTATTATAACAGAAACACTGTGGGAACAATTGTCCAACAGTTGTGTCCTTAGGTGTCATTTGACACCAAAAACACCAAGCAAGGATTTGTTCAGGCTCTAAGGTCTTCATTCCAAAACACCGGTCTGGAACAGTAGTTCCCCTGGCCCTTCTTTTGAGAGTTTTCTTTCTTTCACTGTCTCTTGGTTGTGTTGCAGAGGGGTGTGAATCATGCAGCCCTCAAGGCCATTTCTGCTGCCTGGGAAGACCCCAGGACAGTATAAATATTATATCGACAGGGAGAATAGCATTTCTAGAGGGGTACTATTTTCTAAAACAAGGCGTTCCATCCCTTACTTACACCATGATGGGGGGGGGAATGGGGTTCAAAACTGGATGTAGTACCAGAAGTATTTTTGTTTTAGCTTAAAACAACAACAACAGTGTGACTTCTTGCTTTCCATTCCACTGGTGCAATGAACAGTCTGGGTTCAGGCCACTCTACTATTAATAAGTATTATAACAGAAACACTGTGGGAACAATTGTCTAAGCAAGAGACAGCAAGTGATTGGGGGCAGATTCCAATGGGGAACCGAGTTTTGCAAGACGATGTTTTCTATGGACGATTTTCGCAATATGACATTTCCCCCCCATTGGAATGCATTAAATAGATTTCAATGCATTCCAATGAGGAACCGCATTTCACAAGATGATGTTTTTGCAAGACAGCAATTTTCGCAGAATGAATTAACATCATCTTGCGAGGCACCACTGTATCCTCTGTGGGCCCAATGATGGCAGAGACTGTTGCCCCTAGGGGCAAGAGTGGTCACTGCACAAGTACTTAGGGTGGAAGAAAGGGTGGGTTTAGACCAAGGACCATGTGGTGTATCTTCACAAGCTTGGCTAGGCTCAAGGAAAGGTCGTTTCATTCTCCTGAGCAAAAGGTTTGAAAGCACATTATCTGCCCTGAAACTAGATACTTTGGAAGACAGGACATGTTTGTCAAAACCAAACCAGATTTCTGCTACCATTTATCTGACTTGTTCCCAGGCCATAAAACTAACTCTCTGCTTATGTTTTCCATAGCCCTGATCTGACCTCTGAAACTTTTTTTCCCTTCAAAGGCGTTCAGTTAGCACCAGTGGAAAAAGAAGATCATGCTGAAGAAATTGTGAGTAGAAAACCTTTTGATACTAGATTTTAGGTGAAATAAATTAAATTGCCCTTCACAGATTATCAGATCTCCTCATATGCTCCACCACATACCTGCTGCTCCTCCCCCCCCCGGGGGGGCAATGGTCACCTTTCGAACTTGTCCAAGTCTCTACTGAGTGAAGAGGCAACTGTTGTGAGCAGCAGAAGGGTAAGGTGTGGTCTGTGCAGAGTTCATGAAAACAGGAGTTACCAGCCTCCATTGCTTCCAAGATTGCACTTAAATATTCTCCAATAAAAAAAACCACGTGCTTGATCAAAAATTTCTTTACTGCACAGAGTGTCTGTGGAAAAAGCCATTTCAGGGGTGAAGTGAGTCCACTCCTGGTTTTAGTTTGCCCTTTACAAGAGTTATCTAGGGGGTTGAATGTTTCTGGGGAATAGGGTTTAGCACCTCTGATCGTTCCTATAAAGTGCAGGCAAAAACCCAAAGTGAATTCATTGCACTCCTGAAAATGGAGTCACGACCAGCTGCCACTGGTTGGAGCAACAACACTAATCAAGGGAAAGGCTACTTTCTTTCTCCCTCTCCACATTCCTGACCCCTTGGGCACCCAGTGAGTCTCTCCTTATAGCCCAAGTTCCTTGAGGAGTGTTCTGTACGCAAGAGTAGGTGTTCGTAATGGGAGGCGGTGCTGGGAGTAATTAAACGGAGGATGGAATAACTTGCATCAGCCAGTTTTGACCCTACTTCCCTCAGTTTCTCCCCCTCCAGACAGCATTTGTGTGGGTTAGGCTGAAGAATCTTTGCCTCTTCTTTCTGAAAAGGTGCAAAGCTCACACAGGTTCACTGGTTGAGAGAGATCTGAAAGAAGGACTTGCCCTTCCATTGGGGTGAATAAAACTCCTGCTTCAGATTCTGGAAATCATGAAAGGAGCAATGGTTAGTTGCTCCTCACATTATTTAACCCTAACCCCCAAAACGGGGGCAAATCATTGTGGAGTTTCTGTTTCAGATGACAAGGCAACTTGATTGACTTTTGAGTTCTGTACACTTTGATTTGAGTGTGCAGAGTGCCTTTTTGCCGTTCTGCCTCAGGCACCAACATATCTTGGATTGTTCCTCTCTGGTAGCCTTGGCTGAAACTGCCTTTTCTTCTCTGACAGAGGCTTTTTAAAACATAGTCTAAATCCATGGTGTTCATCAGCTTCCAGATCCTCAAAGAGCATTAAAGCCAAATGACTGAAAAATGTTGATGTAATGGGACACATTTGTGTTTCCTTTAGTCCTGGATATACCTCTGGCCCACCACAATCTGGGCAGTCAGCCATGCTGAATTAGTAAAAGGCTTCTGTTGAGATGTTCCTCTGTGCTTTGCCAAGCAGGTCACTCTAATGGTGCCAGCCTAAATAATCCACATTGGTAGTACTACGTGGCTCTAATGCACCCTGAGCAGAATACAAATCAGAACACACTTCAGTGAGAATCTCCTCTACGTTTGCCCCATTCACTGGTTGGGGTAAGATGTGTTGAACTCAATGGGACTTCATTTCTGATAACACACACACACACACAGGTGTGTGCTGTCAAATTGTTTCCTTCCCTCCTCTTTAGAAGACAAAAAAATTCAGGCATTAGGCGTATGTTTGGACGAATGTTTGCATTCTGATTAGTGCAGTGGGCCATTTATAGAATACAGTTGTCTTGCATTTACTTCCCTGGCAACCATTGTGTTGTCCAACCCGGTTCAGAGTGTTTGGCCCCCTTCATCTTTTCATTTAAAACAGACATGGCTGCCTTGTTGCCCTCCAGACAGTGTGGACGGCATCTCCAGTCAACCTGGATTACCTGGGGTTGATGGGAATTGAAGCCGCTTGATACCTGGAAGATCACATCTTGCCTATCCTTGCCCTAAATGGTTCAGGATATTTGAAAGCCTACTTTCTGGTACTTGGGCTACACATTGTGCTCCTCAAGTGAAACCTTGCGTCGTGTCCCTCCCAAAGCTGGAATGTAGGGACAGGCCTGCAAAAGAGGACTCACTACACAAGAGATGAGTCCATGTCTAGAAACAGTGCACCCTCAACAAGAAAAAGCTTTCTATTCCAACTCCCAGCTTGCCACAATCTGCATTTGGCAAATTAGTTTGCTGTTGTTTTGGAATTGATCAGTTGTGAGATTCCATGCCTTTGTTTGCATGTCTGAGGTCTCAGGCACCCTAGCAGTGAATGATTTGTGTTTTAGGAGGGATAATCTTGTGAGAACAGGAAATACACACTTGCCTTTACATGTGATCTGACTGTCTGTGATGACATCCATGCTTTAGGAAACAGTGGGTCCCCCGACTCACCATGGGCCCAATTTCTATCCTGCCACTGGAATAATGAACAAGAAACCAGATGCCATCTTCTGAGGACTCTAAGTGGCTTATGGGAAATCTCAGGAGCCCTGACATCTCTTGGGCAGGAAACAGCCCAGCTGGCCAAACAGGTGCAAGCTTGCTCAGGTGGGGACAGGGCTAAGAAATGTGGACTGGAAAACTGCAGATTTCACTCTGAATCAACATTGCCCCATTTAAAGCAGCCCATCTGTTGCCCAGCATTGGCCTTTATCCTTCACCCACCTGCCCATCCTGCAATTATGGTTCAATTTGAATTTTCTGGTGTTCATTGAGGTGTGGGCAGTGATGGACTAAGCTGGATAATTTGTCCCCTTATTAACAAATCACAACTTTCTTGGGGTTATGGGTTGGCATTGTGCTGGTACAGTTTGGTGATGGTGGTGGGGACTGCACAGCTACATCCTATGTGAAGGATCCTCTTAAGAGATCTTGGGACAAAGACATTTGGGTAAGCCTGCCTCCGTGGGGGGCAGCAATTATGGCCTGACCCTCCAGGGGACAGTGGGTCCCACAGAGGCCGAGCACCCACCTGGCACCCATATCCTTTCATTCCAGTTTCTCTCCAGCAAGAAGGTTGAGACGGAGGCTCATGAGATGGAAAGCTAGTTGCCTGATGCAGGGATCCATGCCCAGTGCTGTGCTAGGGCTTAGCAGCTGTAATAATCAATGAAGTCGTGGCCATATTTTACTCATCCAAATTGGCAATCTTCCTTTTCCACGTCCTCTCCCAGCCCTGTTGCTTGGAATGCAGTTCCCTGCTCTGGGTGACTTAGATATCCTCTTTCCTTTGGTTGCCACCAAGCAAGATGCTATTCTTTAGTAGGGTGTTTGTTCCTGGAGCATTCTTTGGAATTGGCTGAAGGTGCAGTTTCCCCAGATGTTCTAATTTTGGCCAGTGTGCTGTTGCTTTTGCTCCCTCTGCTGCATATGCTTGATCCATTTTTTCCCAGATTGCTTTATTGATTCAGCCACCTTGAAAGTCCCATTGGAATCAGAATGCTATTTTACCAATAAAAAAAGAGGAAACACCCTGATCCCTCTTTCCTGTTTTTGCTCTAGGTAACCAGGTGCATTGTAGAAGTCCTTTTGAATGGTTTGTCAAAAGCCAATGCTCCTCCCATCAATCCTCAGTGCAAGGAGCTTCTGAGAAAAAGTAAGTATAACTGTTATTCCGAGCTCAGAGAAGTTCCTTTTCATGAAAGCAGGACGAGTGGGAATCTAGCACCTGGAAAAGGAGCTTTCCCAAGGCTCTGCCTGCCGTTACCTTGTTGAAATGTATGAGAGTTTGTAGACACCAGTTTAAGCATAGCATAGGAAACCACAGAGTATTAATGGTATCCTCCCTTGCAGCTGAAATAATATTCACTTGGTCATGGTAAAAACACTCTTAAGAACATTTACTGTAAAACATGCATGCAGAATAAACTAACAGTGCTTGAAACATTTGATCTGATACATAGACTTGTGCTTGACATACAATGGTTTAACTTTGTATATTATCCTTAATTTAACAGACATAGTAACAGACAAGCAAACTACTCATAGACAACATCTAATACACTACTGTACTTCTAACAGACATCTGTAACAGACAACTTCAGACTATCACTAGACTATCTGACTAACATAGCTGCCATTTGTTTTTATCTGTCTGGTAATTAACCTTCCCATCATCCATTGGCTAATGCCAGACAGAACCTGATCCATTAGAATGCTCCACTATGCAAATAACTCATTCCAGTCTTTCCCATACACGCATATACACATACATGCCTGCTGGGTTGTAAAATTAAATATTCCAACGTATCTAAGGGAATAATTTTATCAGTGAGTTAGTTAGTGAGTGAGTGAGTGAGTGAGTGAGTGAGTGAGTGAGTGAGAGAGATAGATAGATAGATATATAGATAGATAGATAGATAGATAGATTGATTGATTGATTGATTGATTGATTTTTTTCAGTTTTTACCCTGCCTGTCTAGTGGCTAGGCCACTGCTCTGGGCATCTTACAATCAGGACATCAACATAAACTCAAATTCAGTAATGGCATCAGTTAAGAGAGTAAGCAAACACACACACACACACATAAACACACACACACACACCACCACCACCATCACCACCACCACCACCAACAGCAACAACAACAACCCTCCCACACCAACTATAAAATCAATTCTAAACTAAGATAAAAGATGATTTTATAAAAGTTGATGGGAATTATGAAACAGTCACAACAATTGCCCCACAACGAACCACTCTTATGGGTTGCCTTAATCACATTGGCTGAATTTACAGTGAAGATGGGAGGAGGGCCAGTCTGGGAGAACCCAGAGCTTAGGGGGTAAGCACAGCACTAAAGGAGCTCCAGAGCCAGGTCACTTTGTACACCTCTCCCCAAAAGCCTTTTAACCGTCCTGTCACAGCTGCAACACAAGGTCGTGGTACAGTGATGGTTGGTTTCATTCTCCCAATCATCTTTGTGATAAAATAACATGGTGGTGCTGTGGGTTAAACTGCAGAAGCCTCTGTCCTGCAAGGTCAGAAGACCTGCAGTCATAAGATCGAATCCACACAACAGAATGAGCCCCCGTCGCTTGTCCCAGCTCCCACCAACCTAGCGGTTCGAAAGCATGCAAAATACAAAATGCGAGTAGGTAAATAGGTACCACCACGGGGAGGTAAACGGCATTCCGTGTCTAGTCGCGCTGGCCATGTGACCACAGAAGATTGTCTTCGGACAAACGCTGGCTCTATGGGTTGGAAACGGGGATGAGCACCGCCCCCTAGAGTCAGACACCATTGGACTAAATGTCAAGGGGAACCGTTACCTTTTACCTTTACTAACCTTTAGTTTATTTATTTCTCTAGAAATTCCTCCTTTTTTCCAAGGAGGTTAGGGCAGCTCTCTCCCTTCCCAGGGTCTTTTGATAGAAGCGACTGTCTCCGGAGAATTACTCCATTGGATCCTGGTGTTGGGAATTTGTTTAAATAATTGGAATAACAACACACCATTCTCCAGCAGGTTGCTTGTCTATTTTAAGATCATGCATGAAACAATACAGCGCAATGAGGGACTCAGACTCACAGAGTACAGTATTTTAAATCCACCCACTGAATAAGGAAAGCTGTGTATTTTTCGATGTGAAGCATTTTTATATCTCTCCTTGGCTGAAAGGGGCTCCCAGAGCAGCTTACAAAGTTCAACAAGATGTATTTGGCCTTTATATTCTCTCCATGACATGACCAAAGGGAAAAAGGATTGAGATGGGTGGAGGAGCCTTTTAAAATACTGATTCTTTGTTTTCTACTTCTTATAAAAACTAAGTGGAGCATGAAGAGCTAAGCAGAGGAGCAGCCAAAATTACTTAGAGCCAAAATATAAGCTAGAGATAACTCACCATTCAAGTTGAAACAGCATTCAGGAGACATGACTGACACCCTCTTTCCTGTCAGAGAAATTATACTCTCAAAGGAAGGACTTGCTTGCATCATAAAGACCAATCACAAAACAAAGCAAGCTAATTTACAGGTTATGGGAGGTGACAAAAGCTCCTGCTGAGACAACCACACATAATCAGCACTTGAAGAATTCAGTCTTCAAGTGATGTGTAATGTGTAATTGGATCCTTAGTTTCTCAGCTGAGCAGATGGAGTGGCCCTGATTGCCTTCTATCTTTCTGCTGCACATGGATGGGATGAGTCTGGTAGGAGGATAGTGGAAGGAGTGAGTAGGTGAGTGGGTGGGTGAGTTTGATGAAACAGTCTTCTCCCCAGATGTAATAGGTAGCCTGCTTCTGTCTTCATAACCAATTAAAGTGACAGCAACCATATGACAGAGCCATAACTCGCTATTATTAGGTAACTGTATGGTCATAATAAGACAGATGTAAACCATAAGAGAACATGATCCATGATCATTATCTCTTTTGCTGGTCAACAGCCTGCCAGATGGGCAATGAAGAGAAGGAAAGGCTTGAGAGTGAGAAACTAGAAGAAGACAACTGAAGCAAATGGTGGAAACACCATGGCATCCTCATGAAGACTCTGCATTATTTTCATTCCTTTTTGTTTTTCAGACAATCAGCAAAAGCAAGAAAAGGAAAATGGGGGCAAAGACCTAGAACGTGACATGAAAACTGTACCAGAACTAGAGGAAAAAAAGAACTCTCCTGAAGGAACTGTGAGGGAAGAACAAGGTCTGAAGGAAGAAGGATTTAAGAGACAGGCAGAAGGAGATGAGACATGGCACTCAGAAGGGAAACCACATGGGGGAACCAGCCACCTTCAAGACATTGCTCAGGGGGATCCTTGGAATGAAGCCCATAACAAAGAAAGAAAGAAGGGAGATGATAAAAGAACTGAGGAGGATGGCAGCAGCAAGAGAAATGGCCATGACAAAGAAGAAAGCAAGGACAAGAAACACAGTGAAGATGAGAGACATGAGGGTCCAGATGAAAAACCTGTTTCTTTAATAGAAAAAGGAGTTGAGGGTGATTACAAGCACTCTGGGGGCCAAAGGTACTTGGAAGAAATTGTACGTAGCCAAGAAGAGAGAGATGAAGAAAGCAAGGAGGAGGAAGATGCTGAAGAGGAGGAGGAGGAAGAAGAAGAAGAGGAAAGCCGTGAAAAATACCACCATAGTTTTCATCGAGAATATGAGGACTCCTCTGAGAGGGAAGAGGCTGAACCAGAGAAACAAGGCCACAAGCCAAGGCATTACCATAGGAAACCAAGGCTGGGCAGTTCCTCTGAATACAGAAGACATCATCATGATGAGAAGAAGGACTCCCCTGAGGAGTCGAGTGAGGAAGAACGTGAATTCTGGGACAAAAGGAGCCACTACCCCAAACATTATTATGAGACAGGCCGTCATTCTGAGGAGAAAAGAAACTCCAATGAGATTCGTGACTCTGAAGAAATGGAGGGAACTAAACAGTATCGGGACAGATGGCAGCACAGCAGAGAGGACAACGAAGAAGATGATATGAGGCACCACAGCAACGAAGATGAAGAGAAACAGTACCACTATGAGAGAAAAAGATTCCCAGATGAACCAGAAAGGGAGATAAGACATCGTAATAAGCTCAGGGAGGATACAGTAGGCAAGCCACACAATTATGGCAGTAGAGATGAGAAGAGGTTTCAGCTACAGTTGGAGGATATGCCAAAGCCACAGAATATTGAGAGAAAGAATGAGGAGCAGAGACTTGAGAGCCTCGAAGAGGGTCCCAGTGAAGAAAAAAGACATTCTGATGAGGAAGAACTGGGAACAAGACATCACAGCGAGCAGGAGAAGCACCTTCCAAACAAAAGGACACTTCTGATAGAAGAAGGCTATCCAAGAAGCCATTATCTGGTACAGAATCTGAAACGAGCAGTAGCCCCATATCTCCCATACTACCAACAACTCAGATGGAAGAATAGGCATGCTGAAAAGAAAGATGATCTCAGCAATCCATATTTGGAAAGCGAGGAAGAACTTGGGTCTCGTTTGAGTGAACGGGAATTCTTTCCTGAATATAATGACTACGATTTGTGGGCAAAGAAGCAACTGATGGAAGGGCTGAATCACAAGCATCATGAGAGCAGCCCTCTTGAACGGAGCCACAAATTTGATGTGAAAAGACAGTACAACAAGATGGACGAACTTGCCCATCTGTTGAGTAACCGGAAGAAATCTGTGGAATTTCCAGAATTGTACAGTTCTAAGGAAGATGTGAAAAGGGGGCACATCATAAGAAACAGTGAGGCCAAACTCAGTCAGAGGCCTTTGACCCAAGATGAGGTATGTATGTATGTATGTATGTATGTATGTATGTATGTATGTATGTATGTATGTATGTATGTATGTATGTATGTATGTATGTATGTATCTATCTATCTATCTATCTATCTATCTATCTATCTATCTATCTATCTATCTATCTATCTATCTATCTATCTATCTATCTATCTATCTAAATAAACAAAGATACACAATAGACAGAATTAAAATACTGTAGTAAATGACAAAAACTCACCCTCGCCAAACCCAATTATCTAAGAAACCACACAACTGCCAAGATGGCAGAAATAAGAGTAACTTATCTATCTATCTATCTATCTATCTATCTATCTATCTATCTATCTACTGCCTGACTAGTGGCAAGTCTATACTCTCAGGACCTATAACAGAAATAAACAAAGATACACAATAGATAGTAAATGAAAAAACTCACCCTCCCCAAACCCAATTATCTAAGAAACCACACAACTGCCAAGATGGCAGAAATAAGAGTAACTGCTTATGATTTTGTAAGAAAATATCATAGAAATTAGTTTTGGTTTTAAAAATTATACTTTCATACCAACAGTATAGCGGTGGAAATTATCACTGTCACATACAAGGCAATCCACTGTCCCTCTTTTCAAAGCATACAGTGGCAATCTGGAAAGCATGATTGGCATGTACAGAGTCCTGTCTGTTCACACTTGACATCCAAATAGCAGAGAGAGCCAGCACTGTGTTCCATTTCATAATCTGGCTTTGGCTGGCTTTCATGTGGTCCTTAGCTGCCCTCAGATATCAGTTACATGTGTGCCTTAGTGGAATGGCACAGTTTTGCTGAAGTCACTCCATGTTTCTTCTGCAGAAATAAACATGTATTCCACACTGGAATCTTTAAGGAAAAAGCTTTGCTTATTAAAACTTAAGAGCCTGGAGAATTTTTCCAATGGGAACATGTCTCATTGAGGTCAATGGAACTTTATCTCCCAAACAGGGACAGCTTCTGACTGGGATGTGGTAGTGATGCCTCCCTTAATTCTGAAGTGTGGTGTCCCTCCATCTCAGTTCATGAACTGCCCAGGCTCTGAAGTAAACATGTATGGTGCCCTTTTCTCCTGTTGGGCCATGGGAAAGTACATTTCAAATTAAACTGAATATCTTTAATTTCTCTCTTGCATTAGTAGTATTTGCTTAAGGCACAAAAAAGGGCCAGAGAAGTGTATATACTGGCATGTACCCTGCTCATTTCAGTCAGGTTACTGTGTGTCAAAGACAGGGCTAGACAATCTTCCTTTTTTTTATTTTTATTTTTTTACTGTCAAGGGGTTTTCTCGGGGCCACGAGTTGAGGTGGACAGGGCAGTACGGAAGGACCTCCACCTCACTGTTTCTCATATCCTTTTCTCTTATTGGCCAGAATCTAGAGAGACCCATGCCCATTTAAACCTTCCCCACATGAGGTGGGAGAAGAGAGGCCAATAACTTTTCTCTCTCCCTTCATCTTTCGGTTAGCTCTTGTGGGGTGCTGCTTGAGGAACACAAAAGGGGAGGTGGAATGCCTGTGTAAATGAGTGGTAGTTTGGAGTCCAGCTTTTGCCTTTCTTTTGGATCAAAATAGACCTGTTTTTAAACCACATCATGGCTTTGTCAAAAATCTGGTGGGGCCACTGAGGGACAGAAGAGGCTGCATCCAGTGTATAGACAGCCACTTTCCCTACTTTACCCTGAATTAATCCTGTTTTAATACTGTGTGCACATAGTTAACAGTTTGTGGGCCAATGCCTTTAATGTCCCTTAACCTTATTTTTGCCTTCATTTTCAGGCATTTTTCTCAGGACTCTCTGTGCATTTTATTGCTTTCTATTGAGGCTCTTCCATCATTTGGATTAGTGCCAATCTATTACACTCCTTGGCTGAAGAGAACATTTGGGGCTTTTGACACCTCTGGGATTAATTTAGACTAGCTAAAGACATGTAGAGTGCACCTGAATTCTATAGTTACAGTGGCTTGATAAGGCATGCTACCACTGTGACTGGTGGAGGTCCATCCTAAGGAATGCTGGGATTTGTGGTTTGGTAAGGGAGTCAGGATACCCCACTGCAGTTCAGGGAGTGCATTAAACCTCATGAGCAGACAATTCTCAATGCCTCACCAAACTACAAATCCCAGGGTTCCATAGGATGGATTCATTGTAGTTAAAGTTCCATCATAGTCTTGTAACTCTGTAGTTAAAGTTCCATCACAGTCTTGTAACTGTAACTCTGTAGTGCAGATGCCTACTGCCGTATATTGCACACACACCCCAAACATGATAACATTTTCAGCCTCACAAGGCCAATTTGATCTTTAAGTGGAAGTCTACTTCTTCATAAACTCTAGCCATTGGAATAACTAATCCAGAACTGTGAGCCTCCTTTTAGGACAGCACTTCCCCCCTTGTGATGTTTACTGTTACACAACCGATAAGGTTTCTATAAGGCTGTAACTCTTTCTCCCAAGCGACAAATTCTGACTTTAAATATCACACAAGGCTTGTACAGTATGTTTCTCTGGAAACACTGAACAAGCAATTATGATGTAACAACATAGCCAGCATACTATAAATTGCTACTTGGGGGGGGGACCATCAGCTCTTTTACATTGCCTTGCTCTTTACACAGTGCCAAGAATTCACTAAACACACTGCTGTATGAAAATGTTGGTGATTTCAAAGTGAGCCTAAAGAAATATTAAGATGAAATTTGATAATTTGGCAAAATTTAATTAGCAATTGGACCCCGATTTCTAGATTTAACTGCAGCTTCCCCCAAATGCTCAGAATGTTGATGGAGTTCCAAGAAATGCTTCAGAACAAATTCACAACGTGATCTTACGCAACTGATGTGCTGACTTGTGTTACAGTCCCATGGTGTCATGGAACAGAAGTTGGCCTCTGTGCCTAGAAATAATCAATGAACCGGAGGAGTGTAAGAGCAGCTGTGTTGGATTAGACCAAAGCCCTATCTAGTCAAGCATTCTGTTCACACGGTAACCAACCAGATGTGAATGGGAAGCACACAAGCAAGGCATGAGCACAAAAATGCCTTCCAGCTTATTCCCAGCAACTCTTCTTGTGAGGCATACCGCTTCCAGTACTGGAGCATTCCCATGTGCCTCTTACCTCTGTGACTATTAGTCATTGCCAGCCTTGTCACCCATGAAATATGCTTATTGGATTAGAAAAAAATGAGCTGAACATGCAACTATATTGACAAATAATGGAGGAAATGTTCTGGGATGGGGACAGTCTGATTTGCATTGTTTTGCATTGACTACATGAGATATGATTTAATGTGAATCAGCCTAGTTTTCGATTTGCATTGTTTTCCATTGACTACATGAGGTACGATTTAATGTGAATCAGCCCAGTTTTTCCTTCTGTCACTGGAGTTTCTCCTTTCTTTAGAATGAAATTCATTTGCATCAGTTCAGATGGTGTGATCCCTCATACTGATGGGTGATCAGAAAAGCTGGCTCTCCCAGCTTCCTAGTTTAAGGTGGGGAAAGAGGAAGTAAAGCGGCATTCACAGGAGTGTCATTTCCCCTCAAACAAGCACCCCTTTATCTCCAAATCATTTTTAAAAGTTTGGTGCTAGCACCGATGCACTAAGGCAGCTGAGACTCAGTCTCTCCATCACATCCTGAAACAGTTTGCGGACAAGGACTTACGATCAGGGCCTTCCTCCTCCTCCTCTTCTCTTCCCTGGTCCCTGCTTAGTTTTAATATCTCACTTGATTAAGAGATAATATTCCACAAAAGTTGCACACTTTGTTGTGCCTCTGCAGTTGGCCTGTCCTGCAAATGTGCCACCTCATTATGGATTTTGGAATTTGTTTTGTGCCAACACAATCATCCTAACTTTTCCTTGTTTGTAAGTGTAGAATGTATAATCCTAAACATTTCCCTATGGGAAGTTTTGCCTTCTGACTATTTCTTTTGAAAGTAATCATTCTCAGTTAGTCATAACAAATATTTTTTAAAATCTCTTATGCTTATATTTGATAGATTTACACACACTCTCTCAGAATTCCTGCAATTGTTTACAACAGTGAAACATCATAGTATGGCAATTTAAAACAAAGGCATAAAATCTACAGCACAATGGTGGCGGGGAGCAGGAAAATTTAAAGGATCAAAATAAGCACTAATCCACAGTTTCCAAGAAAATGTTTTCAGATGGATTTTTGTCTGTTTGTTTTTGGTGTTACTTAGCCAGATGACACCCAATTTGAGTTTCTTTATACCTTCTCCCAAAGCTTCACATTAAATGGTAGAAGGAGTAAGAGAGATCCTTATAATATAGAGGTTGAAAAAGTTCTTTCTTTGTACTATATGCTAGGTGGGGGATTCTGGGAATTGTAGATGAAAAAAACCAATGTTTTCAAGACCTGAGCAGGATTAATCCCATGGAATAAAATCACTGCCTCTATGAATCATCTTTTACAATCTCTCCATATCAGGCAGAATCATGGTCTGGAGTGTCACCAGTACTCAATCCGGTCAGTTGAGGTAGGAGGATTTGATGGTATTGATGGCTGCTAAGATGCTCAAGAAAATCAATAGGATCATGCTGTGAGACTGTTAATATGTGCAAATGAAACAGGGCCAGATGTAGTTTAGTTCCACCTTGGGGGGGAAGCAGCAGTATGCAAATAGTTACATTCATGTGCAACCCAAATATTCATAATCAGGACTAATCTAAACCTTTCATGTCACGATTCACACCAATTTGCTCTGCCACTCTTCTCAGGAGAAAGAACTGGAAAATCTGGCGGCTATGGATTTGGAACTGCAGAAGATAGCAGAGAAATTCAACAGCAACCGGAGGGGATGAATCGTGCCTGTTGCTTCGACGGGTGTGTCCAAGTGGAGATTTATTTGCGGTACCCTCTATTAACTGGCGACACCACTGCCCTGCATGGTGTTCCCCTACCCTTCTGTGTCAGAAATGCCATCTACTACCCTGTGAATGTATGATTTACACATCTATGTGCAAGCATTTTTCAATTCCAAATTTGCTAGGAAGATCAGTCAGCATGAATTCTAGCATATAGATTCCTGTGTAAAAAAAGACATTTTTAAAATGTGTGTAGAAATAATTGTGTTTGTGCTCTTTCAAAATGTATTGTCTTCATTTGACACAATAAAAATCACATTGTCCACAATATGACATGCGTGCCATCTCCATTAGTCTGTTAGGCCCAATGGTGGTTTACTGTATGATGTTGCTAAAAGAGTAACAACATTTAACACAACTACGTCTAATATGAAGCATTGTTTTGTTTTACTTCCCGTGTTTTAAAGACCCCTGTTGATCCGTAAAATGCATTATGATATTCACCCAATGGTGACTTTAGGAGAGGAAATAGGACCAGAGCATGCCCAGCACCTTTGCACAATCAGCTCACAGTACTAATAAGGAACATTTGCCTGATATTCGGTCCAGTTATGGCCAAGTGGGCAACCAGATGGTGTGGGCTCTGGTCGACAAAAAGGTTTAGGGTTTGTGGAATGAAAAGCTGTACAAAACCATCAAAATAAAATGAAACAGTTATGTGAATTTTTTGAATGTCACAAAACCCAGAGGATTTAAACCCATGCAGAAAGTAGAAATGACTGGGCCTCATTAAATCAAGCGGAACTTAATTCTGTGTAAACATGCATAAGATGGACTTCTAGTGTGTTATAGCAAACAAACAAACAAACAAACAAATAGCAGAAACACACTGTGCTTTTGAAGGTTTCCATTACCTTTCATCTTCAGTTCTTTCATAGCTGAGAAATCTATCAGCAGAACCTGTGACTCAAGGTATGTATCAAAAGAAATGAGTAAAGAGCACAGATGTACTCGAGTCCCTATCCATTTGTTATTAAGAACTCTTAGTAGCCAAGTTAAGCCCAGTGATAAACTGCTGGGTTTTTATTTTTGTTTTTCTCCCCCATAAGACAATTTGTATTCTCACTGTAATAAAGGAGTCACTGATCTGAACATATGACTAGGTGTCAGGCCTTCTCTGTGGTGGCCCCCTCTTTATGAAATGTTTTATCTGTGGAGGTGTGCCATGTCTATTTCCTCCTAATAACCAGGAAGCACACAAAAACTTTGATTTTCGGGGAGGCATTTCAGGATATCCTGCCTTTATAAATCATTAGCCATTTAATTTTATGGATTATACTCTCTATCCTTTATCTTGTCCATTACTGCCATCTTGATTTTTAAAGAGGATATAGATATATCTTATTTTATATTTTTGAGTTGGGTGATTTGGCTCCTCTTTTTGTATGTACATTTTACCTTTGGAAACCACTCAGAAACCTTTAATGGTATTAAAACCTAATAAATAATAAAAGGGAATGGGAAGAGAATTCTATCTTATTTTATATTTTTTTGTTGGGTGATTTGGCTCCTCTTTTTGTATGTACATTTTACCTTTGGAAACCACTCAGAAACCTTTAATGGTATTAAAACCTAATAAATAATAAAAGGGAATGGGAAGAGAATTCTGGGTTGAATATGTTAACTTTCTTGGCTGTTTCATCAAAGGAAAATTGTTGTCTTCAACTGGCTCAAAATGACAGAAGGCAGTAAAACTAAAAAAAATATGAAGATTACATTCCACCAAACAACATATCCAGAGGGAATGTCAGTTTCTTTTTTGTAGTTAGTGCTAATGCTGTGTAGTTGACAGAACAAATATAGAAGGGAACTGCAAAAAAAAAAAAAGGTACAAACAGCAGGAAAAATGCCCATCTAATTGCTCCCTGAGAGACAAAAAGTGTCTCCTGAAAAATCAAACTACTATACATATGTTTAGTTGTGTGATTTCAATTCCTTGAGTGTATCTGGAAAAATCATGAAAAGGCCATATGGTTGGGGAAACAATACAAAAGCAGGAGCAGGTGAACAAACAAAAAATAGTGAGCTTCTGATGATAAATCCTCTTCTTCAAGGCTGTGCATCAAGTTCTTGTGGGCAGTTCCAAACTTACGTGCTGTTTTTAATGTCCCAAATTTGCATGGCTGATGGTGTAGAAGCCAGCTAATCTTCTTAGCCCCAGATTGCCTATGACTATCTTCTGTTTTGAAAGATGGGCCATAAGTACCAAATTCTTAGCTGAAGAAGAGCTTGAATCCAACATGCATCCTGCAACCATTTCTATCCAAGAAGCTTACTCAGCCTCTACACCATCAGCCACGTGAATCTCAGACATTAAAAACAGTGCATAACTTTGGAACTACCCACAAGAACTTGAAGTACAGCCTTGGAGATTATGATTTATCTTTGAAAGTTCGCTGTTTGTTTTCAGTTTGTAAGATATTTCATAGGTCTTATCTTCCTGGAGCGGCCACCATCTCTACTCTGTGACTGCCACCTACCGTGCATTAGAAATACTGCTTATTGTGAGTATAGGCACACCCAACCTGCTGTTTCCTGGTCAAATCAAATGGATCACAAAGGACATCTGGAGCTTCCCCACTTGGTTTAAGTTTTATTAAGATCTTTCAATGTGAATGAAATAACAGGGTGGCAGGTTGCCTAATGATTCTCATAGCTCAACATTATATATACAGAGTTCTATCATCATAATGGCTGGATAGCTGAGTGGTTTAGGTATCTGGCTATAGAGCCAGAGGTGGAGCATTTGATTCCCTCTCTGTGCCCCCTGCGAGTAGGGCCCACCTGTGTGGCCTTGGGCAAGCTGCACAATCCCAGGGCACCCCCAGAAGAATAGAAGGGCAAACCATTTCTCAGTGTTCTCTACCTGGAAAACCCAGACAGAAAGGGATCGCCATCAGTCAAATCTGACTTGACAGCACACCATCATCATCATCATAGTTTTTTGTACTAGATGTGTGGAAAACCAAAATATTGTCCACAATGAAAATAAGATGTAGCAGGAAAGGCAGCCTGCATTTTCTTATTTTGCTGCAGAAAACCACATTGCTTCCATGCTACGTATGCCACTGCCAAGCCCCATATTTTGTTGCTCTGTGTCCCCTTCCACACCTGCAATCATCAGCGTAATTGATGAAAAAGCCTCAGAAAGAAACACCCAGAAGGGTGACATGACTTTCTTGGTCTTCCTCCAAGACTGAACTTCACATTTAGGTTTCATTTTAACCTTAGCATACCAGTTGTTTCTGCCTACACACAGAAGGTCTCTCCAAGATGTATGATGGGAAGAGCCACAGGGAGGGAAAGCAGGCTTCTCCCCCACTTCTTTGGGCAACTCTCCCAATTCCCCAAGTGCTCAGTACCATTTTTATCAGGTGGTCAGCTGCAAAATCACATGAAACTGTTGAACTATCAGGGCTAGATTTCTTTCTTTTCAAAACAAGCCTCATGACTGCATATACAAGAGTGAAAACAGAAGCAACAATCAAGTAACTATTGCCATAGTCTTGTTAATATCATGAGCAATGCTGTTTGCATAGCACTATACTCATCTTCATGTAATTGCTTCAGCCATATAGCCTCCAGAAAGCCAATATGGATGGGTTAATCTGAACAGGCAGGTAACAAGATCGAGGTAGAAGGAGTTTTTCATTCTCATGAAGTCGGTTCTTGCCCTGATGTCTTAGAAAGTTGGATAAAGACATACAGTGGTGCCTCGCTTAACGAGGATAATCCGTTCCAGCGAAATCGCTGTAGAGCGAAATCCTCATTAAGCGAAATAAAAAATCCCATTGAAATGCATTGAAAACCCATTCAATGCGTTCCAATGGGCTGAAAACTCACCGTCCAGCGAAGATCTTCCATAGGGGCGGCCATTTTCGGTGTCTGTAAAGCGAGGAACCCATCCAAAAGCACAGTGAGGAGCCATTTTACACAGTGGGCTGCCATTCTGAAGCCGCCCATCAGCTGTTTTAAAAATATTGTCTAGCGAAAAATCAGTTCCCGAAGCAGAGAACCGATTGTCGGGAAGCGGAATTTGCCTATTAAAACATTGTTTTGTGATTGCAAAACAGTCATCATATAGCGGTTTCATTGTTTAACGAGGCAATCGTTAAGCGAAGCACCACTGTATAAAAAAGTTGCAATAGCAGCTTCGTAAGAAGAAATTTGGGTCCAGGCATACTGTTATGATACACATGAAAAGTATTCACACTGTGTTGATGCACTGGGTACAACGGTACTCCTAGTTTCTATTTCTGTGTTTCTCGTTCTTCATTACCTACTGATCTTTCCATTCTGCACAAATATGCCTGCTAGTGATAAAATTTGTCTCCTCTAAAATCATTTCATTATCAGAAGAAAAAATTCCTATGTTAGAAAAAAGAATCTCATAATTTATTGAAGTCCAGATTTACAGATCAAATTCTACATAATAAAAAGTTGTTGTATTCAAAAAGAACAATGGAAATGAGCTTTTATTTTTAAAATGTAAATGACAATGAATTTTAAAATGTACACATAGTGTCCCTTAGTTCTTGTGTTCAGAAAGGGTAAAAATATATAGTTAGCATCAGCAGTCCTGTTTTCTCCACAAATGATGAAATCACACAATTTTGCAGCGTCCACTTCATATGCTAAAACATCCAGTTCTCAGGATTTTGACATGCCATGGGCTACAACTTTTTATATCAAAGTAAGCTGCAGTGAGATTATAAATGAAAGGGTGTTGCAAACACGGGATGTAAATTCAAAGCAAAACTCTGCAACAGGGTAGGGCTGGCATTTCAGTCAATTTCTGCAACAGCTTCAGGAAGAGCAGTTCTTAAGAGTTAGACCTAGAAGGCTTTCATTCTGGGACTATCAGAACACAGGTTGAGGTTATGGCACTATTCAAGTTTGAATTGCTTACAAGAGCACACAATTCTCATATGAGCCTGACTTGTTCACAATAAACTTCTCTTGACAGGAGCCAGAAAGAAAAGTGCACTCTTAAGTCCTCTTCAATATAGTTAGCAAGAGAACAGAAGGATCAGCTGCATCCTAAGAAAAACAGCTTCTTCAGGTATTAAACATGTTCTTGAAGTTTACGTTTTTTAGATGTTGGCTCTTCGGCCATCTGTGGTGCGTGGTCACCAGTTTTGACACCTTCATTTATAACAGTGATGCCTGTCAGTAGGTACCCACCGCCACCGCTCATCATCAATTTGGGATGACTTCGATCAGTCAAGACCTTTAAAAAGAAGAAGAAATGACACACGTCATCACCAAATAATAATTCCAAATTACGTTGAATCGGTTAAGTGACAACAGCATACGCATTCACAAGACTGATCGCTTATTGTTATAGGAAAACTCTGAAGTAGGCTTCTACTGTACAGGGCAGTGGCAGAAAACCTTTTTGAACCCAAGTGCCCAAACTGGGGAAAGAAAGAAAGAAAGAAAGAAAGAAAGAAAGAAAGAAAGAAAGAAAGAAAGAAAGAAA